TCGTATTGGACTTCGCCCTGGAGTATTAGGTTATCGTTGGGTAGAGGGATGACTTCGTTTATCGAGATGCTGTTCGTATGTGTTCTTATCGTTGTATTCAAGATATTAACTTGACATTCCTGTGTGAGGTTGATGAAAAATGTTCCTGATAGTCTACTATATTCTGTTTTCTGTTCGCAATGGATTTTTATAATTTCTGGTTCCATTGATAACTACGAACCAATTATTTTCTTTAATCTTCTGCAATTTTCCTCGCTTCAGATTCATGCGAGAACGAGTGCAGTTACCATCTTTACACTTGATGAGTGAGATGATTTTCAGATTTATCTATAGCTCTAGTATCCAGTGATTTGCAGAGTCAGGTGTCTGCTGACAGCTTCTTGCAATTTTCTTCCAGGTAGGCGAACTCATCGCTTCCAAGTGCGAGGAATTTGGATTTGGGTATAATGGTTAGGTTTAGGTTGTTTGGCAAGGAATATATGTATATATAATCATATAATGTAGATTGTATGGATGGAACTTCTAATATAAATGTTAAAGTATTTTTTTTATAGTACAAGGGTGACAAACGAGCACACAGTCCACCAGAAGGTAAGTGGTTGCTGTGGCCCATAGACATCTATCTACATCTGTCCTCGATTACGAATCAACATGCATATGCGTTTTCACCCGTGAGGACTAAGATAAAATGCCTCGTTTCCAGTAAAAAAGAGTCTCCGTTTCTCTACACTCACCATACGAAACACAGCAGTGTTATGCTGCTATTTTACGCTGTTATTCTGTGAGAGCGTGGTCCTTCCCCGGTCGAGCCGACCCTTTCGTGCTGCAACTATACTACTAAATAGCTGCAGCATGGCTCTACCATGTAAAAATGTAAGTATGTTCTGTACTATAGGTTTTAACGCTAATAGATTTTCTATTCTTTTTTTCTTATTTCTTATAGATCTCTTTATTTCTTATAGATCTTATGAATATTTTCAATACTGATCTCCTCTACTGGATATAGTAAAAAGTTATTCTGCAAATTACTAAGTTCAAAAACTAAATTTCGTGGGCTTATAATACTGGGGTGCATTATACCTAAGTGCAAGAATGTTATAGCATCTTCTAGCAGCATCAACTTATCTAAAATAATCTATAAACTATAACTTATTTGAACGTATATCTCTAAAAAGCGCAACTAGTTTTTTACTGAATCGGAATTAATCTTAATATTTTTCAGTATATATGTTAATATCTTTTGGTTATCATCTATCTTGCTTAGTTGTTTCGAAAATTACTTTATAGTACTCGTACGTTCAGACAAAGATAGGGTTCGCTTCTGTGAGCTTTGGGTTTTATAGACCGAATTACGAATTTTATTAATTTCGCTTTCAAATCGAATAGCGTCTTCGTTATCTAAATTACCAGTTATTGCCTTCACCACGGAACCATGTCCATTTATAATACCACGCCTCAATCTAATCCTAGGTGCAATAAAAATTATTTTCTTAATAATTAAATCTAACTAATGTTCTATCTGATCCCTATATGTTTTATGTAATTCTTCTGAAGGGGTGTTACTTTCAGTTGTCTTAGCACTTGTGTGTAATGCCATTAATTGTAGCAGTATTAGATTCAAGTGCGTAACGATATGCTTATCAATCAATCAATATTAACAAAACTCCCTTACAACAAAGGTCTGTTTATGCTGCTTTTTTTACAGTGATATAATTTTTTTTCCTGTCCAAACAAAACCAGTTTAAAACATTTTACTTGCTTTTTTATTTATTAGTATTTAAAATCATAAATGGGTATGTTATCACTCCGTCAATTTAGGTTTAATGTTATTTACGATGTATCTGTCTGTCTATTCTACTCTGGAAAGAAGAGACTACTTTGGAAATGATGATTTACAATAATAAATGCAGTGGCATTATACTTTGTGTTTTTTATCCTTACATCCAGTTTAAAACATCTTTTTTACTATATAGCGTGTGTAGGTAATATTATAAATAAACATATTATCCCTTAGTCGTCTTGGATTTAATCATATAACTTTAATTGTATTTGGAATGTATACTAATAATCAATCAATACACGTAAAATAGTATTCATACCACATTTGTGCACAAACAGGCATTATATATTGCTGGAACTACTATGAGGATTTTACATCGATCTTATAATACATATAAATGCTGAATGTTAATACAATTTCGTTTTATACTATTAATTATTGAACAGTGCACTATTTTATCTTATAATACCGGTGAAAACTACTAGACAATTTTTTATTACACAAAGGTTTTAAGGTTTATTGTAAGATTCATATTTAATTGTTAATTTCTCAGTATTCATGTTGAGATGCCGAAAAACCAATATTAATATTGTAATTTATAGATTAACTAGCTGACCAGGCAGATGTTGTTTTGCTCTTTCCGACGACTAATTGTCTAATAAAAAAAAAACTTAAATTAGCAAAAAAATATTGATCGTCACTTAACGGGATAAAAACTATCCTATCTCTCAAGTTGGACCAAACAGAACACAGTGTGCAAAATTTCATTGTAATCAGTTCATTAGTTTAGGAGTTCATCGCGGACAAACAACGTGACACGTAATTTTTATATATAAAGATAAAGATAAGAAATAAATCGACATGCATTTCGTTAAGCGTCACTAAAATTGTTTTTAGTGACGCTTAACGAAATGTATACAAAAAGAAATTGTCTACTTTAATAGTTATATTTATATTCATATACCCGAAAAAAAAATTAAATTAAATTTGGCGGTTTTAGTAATTTTATTATAATGTTTTTAATATTAAATCGCAATATTTTCATAATTTACGCTCTGTGATGCACTTGAGACTGTACAGGAAAAAGCGAACGAAACACGTAGGGATAGTACATTATATATTGAAAATAGCAAATTTCTTTCAAAGGGAACATTTGTCGTGAAGCGACAATTAAAAAAAAAATAGAACCTAACCTAAGTACAACAAAACAACAAAAGTAGAGCCAGAAAACAATATATTTAAATTTATAAAAGGTATTTACAATTTTATAAAAAAATGAAATGAGGATGATGATGAATGAAGTGAGAGTACAATTAGATTATAAAAAAAATAAAGGTGAGAGAATAGGGGAATATAGTGTTGTAGTGGGGCCTAAAAGTCGAAGTGACACACGTTGCGTTTGTAGAAGTAGGTTTCTTAGCAGCGACGGCACGCAGCGCCTGAAGCCAGCACACGCCGTTTGCGCTTGTAGAGGTAGGTTTCTTAGCAGCGACGGCGCGCAGCGCCTGGAGCCAGTACACGCCGCGTCCGGAGCCGGCGCACGTAGCGCCTGGAGAAGGGGCGCGCAACGCTTAGAGCCAGCAGTTGCAGCGCCCAAAGGTAGCGCCGGCGGTAGGTGCACTCGGCGCCTGGAGTAAGTAGTAATAGTGCCCGGAGTAGTGTGGCCCCCGCGCTTGTAGTAGACTCGAAGCGACTTCCGAGGTAGATGGAGGCTTGTAGGATTCCGGAGTGGCGCGGCCCGAGTTTTAAGAAGGCTTCGCCGAAGACTTCACGTGTAAATGGAGGCTTGCAGGATCCCGGGGCAGTGCGGCCCCGGGATAAGGCCTTTAGGAGATACTTCTAATTCGCGAACTGAAGCGAGACTGCCTTTCTTCACCGATTGTTCGGCTTTTATACCTTTCTAGAGAGAACGGAAAAATTATTTAAATTATACGCAAATTTTTTGTAAATGGTCAAGAGAAAAGAGGATTTATGTGGAATTATCGAAATAGGAATAACAGATCGGTAGCAAATTTGAATATAATTACCATGGAAACGATATAAATAAGAAAGACAAAACATGTCAAATTTTTGTTTTTGGTTTATAATAAGAAAACGGTAAGATTTAAGTGGAAAATGAGATATTATTGATATAGGAAAAAAGGTAGCGCAGCTGTCCACACAAAGCCCAAGATTGTAGAGTTACGGAAAACTAGCTAAAAGATCGAAAAAAGGTAGACTCCATTGACACCAATTTAAAAGTGCTGATAATGTGAAAATACGAAGTAGAAATGATTTGTTATTGTGTTCTTATGGTTTAAAATCGTTACAGGATCCTATGGATATAAAGGTGATGTAAAATATCCAGTTTTGAGGTGAATGCAGAAAATCGAAACAGAATGGAAAAATGAATTTAAAATAATGTAAAATGATACGTAAGTAGTATAACACTACACATTCCTTTGTTTTACAAAATGGGACCACATAGAAACATTTTTTTTAAAAAATCTTACCTGAGCTGGGAATCGAATCAAATAAAAATGCCAAAATGGACTGTCGCTATTTCATTGAACCAATCGATAGGGTTTATAAAAAGGATAAAATCTCTCGAATAAACATTGTGTCTAAGAATTAATGAAAACCATGAAATTTAACAATTCGTAAAACTTTATATACTAAATGTCATCTTCTTCAAATTCTTAACACTCCACTCATAAGATTATCTCGATCTGGAGATCTTGCAGGCCGATTAATTGTTTCGTTTGGTACAGACACTGAAATTGTTATTGAGATAAGCAGTGCGTATTCTAATGTGATGGACAGGAGCACGGTCTTTTTGAAATATTATATTATTTCTCTCCTCCGCTGGCAAACAGTTAAATTCAATTCTTTGTATTTTCTAGTGTTCAAATGTCCTTGAAACTCGTACAACATCACAACCATGTTTCTTCTGATGCCAGACCAAACATAAAACGATAATCTTAACAAACTTATTATTTTTTTGTAAACCATATAACAACTTTTTAATTTTAAGTCCAGAAATATCCGTCTCTATCTATACTTAATACTACTGATAAGGAATGCAAGCTTTAATACTTCGTTGCAACAATCGGCAACACAGCTTAGACGGTATTTACCTATTTCTACTGTCACGGATCAATCTTTAAGCCTTATAAAACTAGTACTTACGTGCACATAATGTATAAATATTTGTGCAAATTTATTTCAGACATAAACGATAATGAAGGCCTCGGCTTTACTCCTCCTGTTTGCTGTGGCTAACGCCAAGCACGAACAATATCAAGGGTAAAATTATTTCTTTATTTATTTTAGAAATGAAATAACTATTTAAGTGCATTTTCAAATTTCAAAAATATTGCTATGTTATTAAAGCTTTGATATTGCTGGAAATAAGTATTCGCCTTAAAATTTAATAACTTGAGCAAACTTAGCTCGATCACTACTGGCACCACAAAATGAGTTTTTTTTTTAATTTTAAGTGTTAAAATATTTGCTCTGCGGTTAAGGAAAGCATCGCAAGGAAGTCTGCATTTATGAGAAAATAGTTAAATAATTACGATTGATGCAGCGACCTCACAAATATATTTTGTGAAATTAATTGGTGAAATAATGAATAATGGTGATAGAGATTTCGAGGATATGTGAAGTATATGTCCAGTCACACACACTGGAGCAGTGCGGCGAATTTTTCCCTGCTTCAAATCCCTATCCAAAATAATAGGAGATTAAATTACCTTTTTAGCTTACTTCAAAAAAGGAGGAAGTCCTTCAGTGTATGATTTTTACCATTTTTGGGATTGATTTTTAATTGAGTTATATTTTTGTAGTTTATAGTTTAAAGTTACACCATACATCGTAGGTGAGCTCACATAAATTTGAAGGAGAAAATCTACCTGTAAATGTGGAAAAATAGGAGTTGAATTTTTTAGTATTACTATTTAGACGACATTCTTGTTCGACTTATAGCTTGTAATATTCTTAGTGCACAAAAACGAGTCACAAATTTAATTTCCATGTAATAGCTTTTGAAGTCAGAGTTATAATTCTCCATCACATACTATGTCTTAGCAGCGACTTCAGAAGCCAAAATGTGGACATAATTTTATTAATTGCAGTTTAATTGAGTCTGTTCTACTTTAACTTATAATCTACCTTTATTAAATATAAGTTAAAATTAAGCATGAGAAAATCCTTAAAATTGGTTTAATTTAAAGTGTGGTATTTGCTCAAATATGATAGCACTTTTTTTAAACGAACTGCTAGCGTATGCGCAGTTCCGCTGGATCTGCCTACAATACAATAATTTTGACGAATATCAATTAATATTTATTATTAATCATTATCTTTTTTCTGGTAATTTATGGGTATGCACCTGTCTCAGTGGACCCTGATAGGAGTAGAAAACAATGGTCAAGTCCGTAGTAATAACATAAAGTCTGGAGTAAAATGCCGTGCAGTGTAGTGACGGTGCAAAAGAATCAACAACCCAACCCAACCAACCAACCAACATCCTATGTGTATCGTAGAAGGCAACAAAGGGATAAGTACCAGGAGACTTCTACGGCTGCCAAGGCATCTATCAAGTGTGGCAACAATGACAGTTATCCATGAGGCCATCTATCGGGAAGGCCTAAGTTTAGAATAGCACTTTTGAAGGTCAGTAATCAGGAAAAATGAAAAAAAATTAGGAGAATAATCTTGAAAATGCTTCATTTCAGATGGAAGTCGTATTTTGTCAAACCCTCCAACAGAGTACAGCTAGAGGTGTTGGGTTCAGTCGTTCAGAACTACGGAGTCGACTTTTTAAGTAATCCAGCTGTAGAGCGAAATGGACTTGCGCTCGTGAAACCTGAACTACATGAAGAGTTCATAAAGTTGCTGGAAGATCATGGCATCGCTTACAAGCTCCACGCTGAAGATGTAAAAGCGTAAGTATTTTTCTAGTTGTAAACTGGTGTTGAAATATTTTTTTCTTTGTTAATGGACTCGTATGGTAGTAAAAATAAATTATCCTTTAACGTACTTAATTTCAAAACTTCTTCTCAAAATGGTATGTTCTGTTACGGAGTGTTAGAAGATTTAGACGACAGCTTATACCAGTAGACGACAATATTTCCTCAAAGCGCCTAAGTAGCTAAATAGTTGTTTTCTTTCACTATTTCTCGTTTTATATTTTTCTCTTATAGTTCACTTATGCATAAATTCATTTCAAAAAATTGCACCACTTCAAACAATTATTTAGAACATTTTATCATCTTGATCAACTCCTGTTAAAATATTTAAGGACTGTTTAAAAGAAATATAGTTGTTAGTTATTTATTGATCCATTAGAGCCTAGTCAACTCTTGACAGTCAAGTCTCTTGGCAGTTGATTAGAATAAAACGTACAAACTTATCGTCGTGTGATGGCGGCGTAACAATATTCCCTTCCCCATATCATCATAAGCGTCGTAAAAGGCGTAAGATGGAAATAAAACAGGAGATGAGCAGCAGCATCTTCTTGATAACAACCCAAAATAATTAAATAACTGTGGCTGCCAAAACGCCTACCAAGCGTGGCAACTAAGGCAAATATACGAAGCAAACTAAAGAGACAGTAGTGTATTTAGTAAGTATAATTCTTGAATTATTTTTAGTTTCTGAACGTACCGTATCTTAACGTTATTTATTATGTTGTATTTATTTAAAATAATTTTTATGCAGTACACGTTAACTACGTGATTATCTCATTGGTAGAATTAGGTTGGATTATGTGGTAATATAAAAGAAGCCGAAAAAGCTTATCTTAATTGTTTTTGATAAGCAACAAATCTACTGAATTAAAATATTATTTTCTACATTGATAAAGATGCTACTAGCAGACAACAGGTGTAATTCTAGTTGAGTGCAATTATTTACATAAAATCTTTTTAAAATATATAAACGATTTGAATTTTTCATTTTTTTATTTTACGGAATAAAGGTGACAAACGAGTCAATCTGATGGTATGCATGGTATCTATTTGGAATCAAAATGCATATGGGTTGTCACCCTTGAGGACTATGATGGAATACCTCGTTTACAGTAAAGGTTTTCTACATTCATTGTATGAAACACCGTAGTATTAAACTGCTATATTACGCTGTATTATTCTCAACTTACTGGTACGAGGCTGTCACTCGATAACCTTTCGTCCCTATCGGTCGTCAGTCTTCGAGCTATAATGCCGACCCATTGCCCGTTTATCTTACTAATCCGTTGGGCTATGTCTTATAGATAATTTATAAAATAAATAATAGTTAAAAAAGAAAACTAAAAAACACGCTTTTGTAGATAACCAAACTAAAAAGTGAAAATATATTTCAACAATTTAAGATTAACATAAAAAATAATTTTATTTTTAAAAAGCGTGGGCTGCTTTCTTATATATTTTTATGATGACTTTAATTTTACAAATATCCACAAAAATATTTACAACAAATGACATCAAGCACCCCGCGCTTTTTTATAATAAAATGAATTTTTCATGTTAATAACTATTTTCTTATATTAACCTTATTGAAAGTTATTTTCTACTTTTTAGTTCGGTTATCTACAAAAGCGTGTTTTATAAGGATATTTAAACTATTATTTATTTTCTATTTTTTAGTGCGGCTAACTAGGTACAAAAGCGTGTTTTTGTTTAACGAAGTTCTTTTACGCGGCTTGCATTAGATTGATTGAACTGGCAGAAATCGTAGTTGTTTTATAAATTATTCGCAAATCCTGAGAATCCTGGCAAGGATAATAGGACAAACTATTTAAATTATTGCATTGTCATCGGTACTTGATAAGTGTGCAAAGTTTCAAATCAATCTGACGTTTTTAAGGGGATGAAAATTTCATTAAAAAATTGCGTTACATGGATGCAGAGATACATACCAAGCTAATAAAAGCGTGTAAATTAATGCTTACTGTTCGCGCCAAACGCTTATTTCAAGAATTGACGCCAGAGGGCGCTCAGCGCGGTGATTTCCTACCGGTTGACGTTCGCGCGAGATCGGGTTGGTTGCGAGCAGGGCGCGTCGGAAGTGTTAATGCAGCGCAGTCACTTGAACGTCGTGGTCGCGTCCCGTATAACCTCTAAATCGTGTCGGTTTTGTTAGCAAATTTATGCAACGACGATGAGTTTTGTTGACTTCTAGAAAAACAGACGCCGGGTCGATTAATTGTTTTGAAAGTTAATTTTGATTGCGATCAACGTCCGAATTTGAGTATTGTGCAAGCCTAATTGCTATCGAAGATTTGGGTATCTTTAATACCGCCTCGAATGGAGTGTCGGTTTGAGCGTTTCATGACACGAGGCCTAATTTGAGTTTTGAGTGATTAAAGTAACTGATTACCAATATTTGTTGCGCGACGGACGGCTTGTATTGAGTTTGAATTATTAACTTAACTTGATTGACATTAATTTGATTCGACGATTTGCTTCGTGGCATTTTGATATCGTGCGAGTGAACCCGGAACATTGAATATTGAATTTTGAACGACGGTTCGTTACTTGTATCGTGCTGCTCCGTTGAACTGTGAAGTCGCGCGAAAAAGGGAAGTTATTAGAACCGCGTGTGCTCAATTATAATCTGTAGCTGGTTGAAAATGGAAGTTGAACTTTGATCGCCGTTCATTAGTTGTGCCATGTGTCACGTGTTTGATTTCGATGAACGTTGAATTGGTTGAATTTGAAGTTAATTATATGTACGATAAGGTTGACAAACTGAAATAGTGAAGTGACGTCAGGCTTGAGTTCAGATAAAGTGAACTATCACTGGAGGATGAACTAGGGGCGTGTTAATTGTTATTATTTAAATAACAAGTAGCCACAGTAGCGAAGAGAATCTAATTTAGGATATAACTTATGCAGAGTTACAATTACACAGGGATGCATTTTTAATAATTTTTTTACAGACAACTAGACATCGACGATAAGTTGTTTGAAACAAGACGTCGCGAAAGCAGTGGAAAGAAAAACGAGAGAATTCCTTTCGATTACTATCCGGAACTTGAGGAGGTGTGGTATTAACTTGAGTGGGTTGCATTATTGCTACGTATTTACTGTATAAAATATGAATTATACACAACTATTAATATATTGACAGAAATTTTTAAGGGCAATTTGCCTCTAGAATTTTAGAAAAGTTTATTCCTGTTAATAAACTAAAACAATAAAAAAGTTATTCAAAAAATTCCGTATAATCAACATCAAAATATTCTAATTTTTTAAACAAAGAGCGCTGAGTGAATTTTCTTTATAATTCGTGAAATGCTTGTAGTATACGAGTACAATGAATCTAATAATAATAATAGGTCGGGCAATAATAGGCCGAGAATTGTGCGCACCGTCAGGATGGCGTTTGCTGGGAAAAATATCAGTTTGTCCCAGCCGGATATAACGCAAAAACTGACAGAGCGCGTAGACAACCTGAAGCAGAGAATTGCTGGTCAACACAGTTCAACCAGAATCGTCTCTACCAGAGTGATCAGAAGGGGTTCTATGAATCATTGGAGCGGCCAATGTTACGTGGAACGGGCCCAGCACCGAATCAGGCCGACACTCACGCATTCTAGCGCGGCCTGTGGTCAGAGCCCGTAAACAACAGCGAGGGTCCTTGGACGGAAGTTGTGGCGAGTCAGTGTGCGAATGTTACGCCCATCATAACGCCGCATGACGTAGTTTAGGCGGTCCGTAGGGCCCCGAACTGGAAAAGTCCGGGACTCGACGGCCTGCATCACTACTGGCTGAAGTGGTTCGTGGTGTACCACGCTGTGCTTGCCCGACAGTTTCAAGCGGCTCTCGACCAAAAGTTGCTTCCGAGCCTCTTCACTACTGGGATCACTTATTTGGTTCCTAAAGACCGGGATTTCACAGACCCGAGAAAATACCGCCCCATTACGTGTGTACCCACCATATATAAGACACTGACATCCATTTTGAGTACGCGAATCATTCGTCACCTGGATTTAAAATTAAAAACAAAACAAAATAGATGCCGGGGCGGTGGTCGTGGAATCAAGGAACCACTCCTCATTGACGCGGTCATTGGCAAAGTGGTTAAACGCAACCGTCGGATCTTCTCCGCCACCTGGATAGACTATAGAAAGGCATTCGACTCGGTGCCCCATTCATGGCTAAAGAGGGTCCTCGAGCTGTACAAGGTTGACTATATAGTTAGAGACTTCATCGAGCAGTGTATGGAGCAGTGGAGTACAATCCTATGTCATCTAGGCGAGCGGATGACGGATGCGGAAAGCCGCATAAGGATAAGAAGGGGTATCATCCAGGGCGATTGTTTGAATCCAATCTGGTTTTGCCTCCCCCTGAACCTTCTCAGTACCTTACTGAAGGATTTCGGGAGGGGATTTCAGCTTCGGAAAGGAGGGACAAAAGTGACACACTTTTTCTATATGGATGATCTCAAATTATTCACCTCCAGTCGCTCCCATCTTATGAAATTGCTAAACATCACTTGTAATTTTGGTTGAAAGAGGAAGGGTTGCTAACTCTCTCATCAACATAAGGACCCTTTCCGAGGCTGAAACATACCGATACCTGGGTATGTCACAGAACATTGGTGTATATGAGGCGGGTATGAAACGGTCAGCTTGCGATGTGTTTTATGCACGCTTGACCAAAGTGCTTAATAGCCTTGCTCTCAACCCAATGCTGGTGACCTATTTGGAAGCCAGCCGGGACCTCTGCGAGACGAACTCAATTCTTTTTGGCGCCGCACTGGCAGTTTGACGAGAGCGGATGATCCATACTATAGGGACGTTATTTCTTGTGATAAAGGACTTACCCCTCTATCCTTAGCCAACGAGCAATGGCGGGACCCGGCAGTACAGAGCATTTCCGACCGGGAGACCGTATGGAAGGAGAAGGAGTTCCACGGGAGGTTCTACAAGGCTGTTCATGAGCCTTTCGTAGACACAGTCGCCTCTCTCCACTACGTTTCTACGTGGCTACGTTTCGGTGACCTCTTTGGGGAAACCAAGGGTTTTGTCTGTGCAATACAGGATCAGGTAATTAAGACCAACAATTATCGGGAATACATCCTAAAGGATGGCGCTGTCGACATCCGTCGAGCTTGTCGCCATCCCGGTGAGTCACTTAGGCATGTCATCTCCGGTTATTCGGCGCTTTCTAACTCTGAGTATTTGCACAGACACAACCTAGTAGCCAGGATTTGACACCATAAGCTAGCTTTGAAATACGGTCAAATAAATTACGGTTTGAATACGGCTTTGGTATAAGTACTTGCCGGAAGTCGTGCTCGAAAATGACCACGCAAGGCTCTACTGGGACCGGGCCATAATCACAGACAGGACTATTCTTGCGAATAAGCTTGATATTGTGCTGATGGACCGGGCACAGTCAAGGATATTTTTGGTCGATATTACCATTCCTTATGACGAGAACCTCGTGACAGCCGAAACAGATAAGCTGACAAAATATCTGGACCTGGCTCACGAGGTGACCGACATGTGGGTTGGTCTGCCGGCCGAAATTATTCATGTGGTCGTTTCTGCGAACGGGTACTCTTTTTTGAAGTCGGTAGAAAAATTAAACTTTTTCATTACATGTTACAGATTAATGAATATTTGGAGTACGTTGCTGAACAATACCCTAACCTGGTAACTATTGTATACCCTGGATACACATTCGAAGGTCGCGAATTAAAATATTTAAAAATCTCAACGACAAACTTTGAAGATGAAGATAAGCCAATCATTCTTATAGATGGTGGTTTCTTCGGTCGGGATTGGATTACTTCTGCTACAGTATTATTTGCTATTTACAACCTTACGCAAACTGATATGCTACATGATTATGACTGGATTCTATTGCCCGTAGTCAACCCCGATGGATATAAATACTCCTTTACAAATGTAAGTTTAAAAAATATATTTATGAAAATAAAATCTAGGTGGTGGATTTCTTTCCCTTTTCCTCTTAGGAGTCCGTCTGGAAATTGTATCCAACTCTTACATGTTTCTGTAGCCAAATAGCAGTGCTTACACTGCTGTCTTCCGGCTTAAAAGGCGTTGACAGCCATTATAGTTACAGGTTTGGAGGCGTTTCATGATTAATTTCATGACATAATTTCATCGATTACTAACAAAAACTATATATACAATCAGGACAAAAAATGTCCTTACCGAATGAGCGCTCACTCGAACTTTTGGGTGCGCTTTTAATTTTTACGTAGTCTTGTGAATACAACTTTAGGCAATGCGTTTAAGGTTGAATTTACATTAATTCAAATAAAATTACGTCAAAACAATTGGCGACAGTTTTTAGAGAACTTTTGCGTGGGGTATCTAGTTTTTTATAAGTGATCGATGCATCATTCTTTTATTTTACAGCAGTTGCAATACGTATGATAACTCTGCAACAACCACGTTATGATATACACCGCCACTAATAAATTGAATAATTTAGTATAATAACTGACTTTTATATTTTCAGGATCGTTTCTGGATTAAGACTCGCTCTACTGATCAACATTTATTCAGTACACTTTGCCCAGGCGTAAATGCCAACAGAAACTTTAACTTCTTCTGGAACACCTTAGATACAAGTTATACACCTTGTGCCGATAATTACGCCGGTAACAAACCCTTATCCGAAAGGGAGACTTTTGTTTTGAGGTTTAGCCTCGACGAATTCATTCCTCGCATAGTTCTTTATATCAGTATGCACAGTTATGGAAGTTTAATTCTATATCCTTGGGGAAATGATGGCTCCCTCTCAAACCACGCTTTTGCTTTGCAAAGTGTAGGAGTGGCTATGGCGGATACCATATATGCGAATTCCTTACCCGATTTTCCTAGATACATTGTTGGAAATTCTGTCTTAGTCACTGGAATCAAAACATCAGGTACTGCGGTTGACTATGCTCACAAGTTAGGAACACCATTGTCATTCAATTTAGAACTTCCTGGAATTGGAGAAGGTACAGAAGGATTCCATTTGGATCCTAAGTATATAGAACAAGTAGCAAAAGAAACATGGGCTGGAATAGTAGTGGGCGCTAGAAGAGCTGCAGAGTTATTTGGGAGGACATGAAGTTATTTAGCTATAATCTGCTCCAACTTCTGTTCAAATTTTAAATAAATCATGTTAATATTATAAAGATACATATTATTGCCACCCTCATTGCTACTATAAACTTTACAGCGCATCCTGAGGCATTTGAATCCTTTAATTCTTGTTTATTAGGTAGTCATACTACAGTGAATGTATCTTGAAAATCCCGCTTTACAAAGCACATTTTGAAAATTAAGATAGATACGTGATTTTTATATAAAATTGAAGTAAAAAACTAATTTAGAGTCCACCTAATGGTAATTGGTTACTGCAGCCCTCGGACACCTTCAGTCAACTTAAAATAAAGTAGGCTATTGATACTTTGTCACGTCTGAGAACTTAAACGGACATAGAGGAATGCCTCACAGCCTGTAATTATAATAATAATTCATTTATTTCGGACAAACAAATATATCCATAGTTGTTAGTAAATGTTTTCTTATATCTAGTGTTAGTAACATATTGTTGACGACACAAGTATGAAACTGCACCGATGGTGGCAATAAGCCAGTCAAGAAGGCAGCATGTAGCCGTATGCAGCGAGCCAACATCGGCGAGTCCCAGCGGTCAGGCAGCGTATGCAGGATGCTGTTGGGGCTGCCGCGCACGCGCCGAAGTAGCTATGCACAGCGCTTCCGCATGATTGAAGCGAATCCGTCCGTGTGAGCTTCCGCGAACATGGCGGAGGCGCTGATTATTGCTGTTTGCAATTATACTTGCTCTCTTACTCTTTAGAATGGAAAACGCGGTGTGTGCACTGCTGTTTGGAAGTAGGAAAAGGTAAGTAAGTGAAGTAATCAGACAGACTCTTACACAGAAAAGGTGTCCCACAAACCAGTAGAAAAATGTATTACTGAGGGAGAGCTTGTGATTAGAAGAGACAAGAAACTCAGCAGTAGACTGCATTTTACAATGAAATGTAATGCACTAGTCCCCAAATTTATGTGTTCATTTGAGATTAATTATGTCGTGCATTCTTAACATTGCATGCATTCTTATCTTCTATTTAATTTATAGCACCTAGTAGATGGGCTACTTATCGTTCTGATTAATTTGATTTCATGTACCGTTCCATAGGAACATAAAGTTGATTTGTAAACAAATTTGGGCTACAAAATAAATAAATCAAACCCACACTGGTACTTACATATAAAGCATAGTTTATTTTTCAGTTAAAATTACTAACAAAGATTCACAGACTTACGTAGTAGATTAACATTTACGTGGTATAGCCACACTGAAACTATATTATGGTTGTAGCAGGAATGGGTCTTCTGGACCGATAAAGGACCACATGATTCATTATCATCATTACAGCCCAAGTTCACAAGTCCACGGCTGAACATAGGCCTCCACCAACAAATTCTACAAAGCACGGTTCTGAATCACTTGCATCCATTGACTACCTGCATGTCTTTCCAGGTCGTCACTCCATCTAGTTGGGGTCGCCCTACACTTTCCCTACCAGTGCGAGCCTGCAATTCGAGAACTGTTAATTTTTCCCCAACGGTTGTCAGTTCTTCGAGCCATATGGCCGGCCCATTGCCACTTCAACTTACTAATCCGTTAGGCTATGTCAGTCACACTGGTTCTACTACAGATATCCTCATTTTAAGTTTATCGCGCAGAGAAACCCCGAGCATAACCGTCTGCATCGTGCTTTCTCTTACTGCCATCAGTGAAGAATCACGTCATAGATCCATAAGTCATCACTGGCAACACGAACTGGTTGTATAATCTCGTTTTCAAGTTTTGAGGTATACCTGACGAGACACATCGGTGTTGTAATTTTCTGAACGCAGCCCAGCCGAGTTAAATTCGTCGATTGAGCTCTCGGTTGAAGTTGGACTTACCTAGTCGGACTATTAGTCCCGGGTAAACATATTCGTCAACAACTTTGAGCTTAGTGCTCCCAACAACTCAATAAACATGCGAACCGTATGAGGGAGTGCTCATATGGACGTAAAAATACGGAACTTTGTGCACGCAACAACTACCGGCATAGGTGTGACATGGACGTTACACATGATCTTTGTTTTGCCCATGTTCATTTTAACACCTATCCGTTGGAAGACACTATTGAGGTCATTGAGCATAGTGCTTAGGTCCTCCAGCGATTCTGCCATAAGGACTATATCGTCGGCAAATCGAAGGTAAGAGATGTACTCACCATTGATGTAAATACCGTATCCCTTTCAGTCCTGTAGCTTGAAAACGTCTTCCAATACAGCGGTGAAGAGTTTCGGGGATATAATGTCACCCTGTCTTACACCTGTCTGTAGTTGGGTAGATTTCGTACTCTAGTTCTGTATTCGGATAGCCATCGGAGCCTTACAGTACATACACTTCAGAACTTCGATACGAGTACACCAACAGTCAACTTTGCATCTCTGAAAGGAATGCAGCTCCACCCAAATTTCGATGAAATCAAAGGCTCTCTCATAGTTCACATATGCAAGACATAGTGGCAGATTCTACTTCTCGGTATTCTATACAATTTGATTTGCTATGGTGCTGAAGCCTTTCCAGAAAACGGCATGTTCGGGAGCTGGAACCCGTCGAGTCTGCGTACGAGATGATTCGTAATGACTCTCGAAAACAGTACGTAGACGTGGCTCAGAAGAGAAATTGGTCTGAAATTCTTTAAGAGAGCGTTCTCGTCTTTCTTGAAGAAAAAGACCACTGCACATCTGCCTCATGCCTCCGGTGTAGTACTACAATGGAAGACATAATTAAAGGGCTTGTGAAGGACTTTAAGAACCGGTTATACACCCGTTTTCAGAGGCTTCGCTGTAATTTAATCCTCGCCCGCATACTTGTCGTTTTTAAACTGCTGGAGAGCCATTCTAATCTTGCTGAGACTGACCTCCGGAATACCATCGAAATAGTATTGGATAAGACTTGTTCTTGGAGCGTTGCTCACACTTCTGTTGGCTCCGATGATGATGTATACAGCTTTCCCGGAAACGATGCTGCAACACTCGGTCTTCAGCTTTGACAGTTGGCTCTTTCTGGCACAAATATCTTAGACAAAAATCTGGCATCTTTGGAGCCCTGGTTCCACTTGATTCGGATTCCGCTTCATCAATACGAGCTGTACTAAAGTTGGGTAAGATATGTTTGTTCAGTTGCCTGTGTGCTGTCAAACATTCTGAAGACTTCAGCTTCATTATCCGTCTAACAGCCATGAGATTAAAAGTGTGATCAGAGAGTTTTTGTGTTCTTCTGCATTACTCTTGCAGAACTTAGCTCCGACTGCATGGACAGTTTCCACGGGCTTGTCATTCATATCGTCCACTAGATTGCAGTCTTCTAGGCACTGGAAACGATTTTGTAACTCGAGCTGAAAGTTTTCGGGAGTTAGGATTATATCACGAGGGTACTACATCAGACGTGAACTCTCCAATTTAACGTTTTGGTTTAGTGTGCCTCTCACCTTTTTGTGATCGCTGCCGATTTTCACCCTTGTGATCGCTGAGACATCACTTAAAAGTTGCCGTCTAGTCGTCACAATGAAGTCAATCTTAATTTTTGTCGATCCGTCGGGGTTCGAACAGGTTCACTTCCTGTGGGACTTCCTTCCGCTTCTGAATTGAAGGACCAGCTCTAATAAAATATCAAAGTAATTTAAGTAATGTAGGTTTATTTCCTATAGTAAGTGTAAAATACCGGAGACTCCTTTGACTGCAAACGAGGCATTTAATCTTAGTCTCCTTAGTCTCTTTGTTGTGCAAAGACCTTGAAACGGCAATTTAATAAATATGTCCTTTATCGCTACCACACGCCTGTAGAATTGGTGAGATAATAATCTAATATTCCCAGTTTATTATGATCATCGATATTCCTTTTAAAATCCTAGAAGAAATTTAAATTTTTCTAAGAAACATCTTCATACACATTCTGTGCAAAAAGAAATATGTGTAGTTAATAATGTTATATCTATCTATCAATCAAGTACAGAGCAGAAGAATAATACATATGTAAAAATAATGTACACAAATATTATGATCAATGTCTTTTAAAGGGAAGAGATACTAAACAAAACAAAACTTGCTGAAGTCGAAAATTGAGCTACCTGTCTATACACTACTACTCTTTTATTCCATGGAGAGGTCTGGTCAGAGTAGATTTTATTATATTTTGATAAAATAAAAACATAATACTATGTACCTTCAGTATGAATGTATATCAATATAACTAAATGAAAAGCAATTGCGTCAGTAAGCATCTTCGTGAACGCGACTAGAATATTCTGAATTGGAAATTGATCCCGCACTGCGCTAAAAGTTTCAAGAATAGCGGGAAAATTCCAATTAAATTGGAAAGTTTACATGCACCACGGGCTACGTTAAGAAATATGTAAATTCGTATCAGACTAAGCTCGAAGAACTTAATTCATTAAGTTCGTTATACTTTCTCGTTAGAGGAGGGATGACAAAATCAGTTTTGCTTTGTTTAAACTACATAAACTTGAGGACATATTTGAATAGTAAAATTAATTATAAGCAAACATTTTTGTTTTATAAAGCTGAAGTAGCAAATACTTATATTCATAGACTCGATTCCAGACTACGCATTGAATGAAACAATTTTAAATGGTATGCTTGCCAAGCAGTGCAGTGTGCTTAACTGAACCCAAGTTTAGTTAAGATATACCCAAGTGGTCGATAAATATATAAAAACTTATAAGTGCTCTAAATCATTCCAAAAGTCAGATCTTAAAAATTAGTAAAATTAGACGCGATCAAATTTTACAACATGTAACAAAAACCCTGTGGTTCCCATTAAGTACGTTATAAGGGTCAGTATTCAAACCTATAGAAATAACTTTTTTTTAAACTCGACCATATTTTTTTTTAATTTTATGTGGTTTTATTACCTCTTACTGAGACTAGCCGATGCTAAAGCTAAGTAAAGCGGGGTCTTTGACAATCTTCTTATTCCCCAGACAATGCAGAGGTAATAAAAACACATACAAT